ATTATAATCAGTGATAGAATTCTTGATCAACTATCAACCGGATTTTCTTATACAGAAAGTAAACGAAACAAGTTTTGCATATTCATCTCATCATGCATTATATCCCCTTTAACAGGAAATGGTACTAACAAATTCTATTTTCATTGAATTCGTTTTAACAATTACATGATCTAATGTTCAATGGTTGTTTTATTTCATTAAATAACCTATAAATAATTTTTACATTTGTTTTCTTTTTAAATATTTTTTCCTGAAATTTCGTTTTAACTTTTCATAGTTTAACCTTGAAAAGTGCATAAATTCAATGTATAAATCATAATGTATTTTTTCGCCTTTCTTTTGGGATTATGAAAAAAAATATCAAACGTTTCTTTTGTGTTTGATTTTATTTATTTCGCCTTTGTTATGTTAATTATTAAATAACAATAAAAAATTTAGTAAAATGAGATAATCGAGATAGTAATTGCATTATGTTGTGTAATTTATTTTCGACAAATCCAAACATTCTTTACATGACAGAGTGCATGTATCTGGCAGATAACACATTTACGTGTATTAGTATTGAATTTCTAGATTATTTATATATAAAATAATGTGACGTCCTCCTACCTCCTTTCTTTTCGCCTGTTACCCAAGCAAAGGCCGCCTACCAATATTCTCCAACCTACTCTGTCCTGGGATTTCCTTTCAAGTTATGTCCAATTTTTGTTTATTCTCCTCATGTCTGTCTCCATTTCGAGGCGTAATGTGTTCCTCAGTCTTTCTCTTTCGCTTAGACCTCGAGGGTTCTAAGTGAGGGATTATCTTGTGACGCAGTTGGGCACCTTCCGAAACGTGTGTCCTTTACACTTCCAGCTCTTTTTCCTGATTTCTTCCTCCATTGGAATCTGGTTTGTTCTCTACCACAGTAGGTTGTTGCTGATGGTGTCTGTCCAACAAATTCGAAGTATTTTGCGTCGACAACTGAATGTAACTTCTACATGTAATGAATGACGCAACTAGTTTATTTATTTAAGAATATTTATTTATTTTACATCAAAATCATGACTGAATCATTGTTAGACCACCGTTAGAAATCTGGAAGAACTGGACAACTGTTCCGTCCTCATCACCAGTGCATATCCACGACTCGAACACACGACTTTCATTCTTGCGCACGTATGCTTAACCTGCAGACCAGTGAGCCAGCATCCGACGACGTTAATGTTCAACTCTAATCAATCTAAGGATTTTGTGCAATTTCACTCATTATCTTCAGTCGTTACCACCTACAGTCGGCAGAGATGAACTCCACTGGTCACGTCTTACATCAATGATTCATTCATGTTTACCATGTAAAACGACTATCTCTATAATACTATACTGAAAAACTTTATTTATTTGGTCTGGAAATACACTACTTTTGTTGAATCAGTGACTATTTTATTAATCTAGTTAGCTTCTTTCCTGAGAAATTTTCTTTTGATAGTGCTAAACAGTTATCGTTAGTGTATTTTTGAATGATGTATGGTCACTGTTACCTTTTTCATCACAGCCCTAGAAAGCATAAGATAAATACACTGTCATTGGAAGGTTATTATTCAGTGAAAATTACTTTAATTAATTATGGGAATACTAAAATCTAAAATTTTCTTATTACATTCAATTTCTTTATCAAAAATCTATTTGGTGAATAGTACTTGAGATTGGCAGGAATTAGACTACATTCTAATAGTTTATAATTAGCTCGTTTACCACGCAGTCCAGTAGTTGGTTTTATGTTAAAAATTAAACTCAGTTTTCTCACTACTAATGACTATTAATGGACAGTGTAACAGGCGTTTCTTGAGTATATAACAGATTGTCTGTGGTGGTCGGTATTTGATATCATTCCTAAACTCCGTATATTACTCGTCTTGATAACTTTTACTAGATAACGGTCTTCAAAAGACAAATACGAAGCGCTGATAGTGTTTATTACTGCATCATACCGATCACAAAACCACAGGGATGCGAAGAGAAAGGGAAAATCATTTGCGAGTCCCAAAGAGCGAGTCGATGAGTGCCAAGGGGTAGGATTAAAATGTACATACATATACATAGAAAAATGATTGAGTCTTCGGATTATTTAGACGGCTAACATTAAAGCAAGCAGAATGAATATGTGTGTAGAGGTGGTAAGCAATGCTCAATCATACCTCCACCTCAAACACAAAGCACAATCGTAGAGATAAGTTGTTGCTCTACAAATGTCTATCTGTTAAAACAAGTTAATCAAAAAGGCTTAACCAAATTAAATGTATACAAACTCAAATGCATATCAGTTGCTTTAGTTTATTACCTTAAGAATTCCAACTTTGTTTATAAATATTAAGGTACTTTTATAAATTTTGGTAGAACAAGGAGAAGATATAGCTGATCTACAAAATGCGATGTATTTACGCAAGATATTTCGAGCAATCTGGTCACAGATATACACCTGTCAAGGCATTTTATATTAAAATTAATCGAGATATGTATATGTGACCAGATTGTTCAAAATGTATAGCTCAAATAAATCACATTTTTCCAATGAATTACGTCTTCTCATAGTCTGTCATTGCTGATTTTTCTTTTATATTTATTGACTCTTCTGACTGTTCCATAGACTCCACCAAGACATCGTAAATCCAAAGTATCCTCTAATGTACGAGATACATCAAAAGAATCTACACAAGGCGCAAGTGGTGCAAAGAAACGCGAGAAATCAGTTCGTGGTCGTAATGCTAAGGTAAGTCAAAGTTATTTCCTTGATAAATGTGAAATATTTTTATGATCTGATGAAATTAACTTCAACCACTTCACTTTTCTAGTTGATGTATAATTTTGTATTTGAAAGTTCTATTGAATCTAGGCAAGTACTTTTAATCATTAATTTTTGCTCTCAAACTACTGTTGGGGACGTTAGATCCCCAGAACTCACCTGGAAAATGTCCTCATTTTGTAATTTTATTTTGAAATTTTGAATTTCTATTTCTTCGCTCCAGAGATGCTACATTGACCTTGAGCTTACATTTCCCACTCGGAAAATCATTGACTGTCACTGGTTGATGGATTATTTTAGTACGCTATTTTGTTGCTCTCCCAAGGACTTTTCTATGATGTATAAATAAACTCAATCTGTATACTAGTGAACCTCGATTTTCTAAGTGCTTGTAGAATACACTTTCTACGCCTTATAAAGACTTCTTGATCTAGTTAGTAGCGCCTGAGACAATCGGATTAGAATAGCCTACCGCATCACTGTATCTTTGATCGTCGTTCCGTTTACCAAGTAAGGTGAAATCACAATAGTTTCAAGCATATCAACTGGTGAGTAGATCAAATCCATCTTAAAGAATTTTCTTAAACCTAACTCTTTCAACGTAAATTGTGAACCTTGATCCACTGACTTATAATTTTACAACAGGAATTTTTTCCATCCGCTTAAAAGTAAATGTTTACACATTTCCTTATCACTTCATCATTAATTAAAACAAACAGAAAAGTATTAGACGAGTGTCAGATACACTGTGTTCGTTTTGACGTCTGAAATAATAACTGGTAAATATAGAGGGAATTTTAGTTGATTATTAAAACACCAAGTGTAATATATCTTGAAAAAATTATACAAACATATATTCATTGATTTTTGTCATCCCCTATATATTTTAAACTGTGGTGTTGTTTCAATATGCCCCGTTGTTTGTTCCCATTTGTAATTTTTCAAATTACATTTTGTATGTTTTATTTAATTATTAGTACTGGTCGTAACATTGTTTGTTATCTTGTGCTTGCTCGGATTACATACGTCTGTCTGTTTAATTCACTGTCATAATACTGCTCTAGTACTAATGTTTGATAAATTGAGCTGATTCCATTTTGTACTAGGTATGTATGAAATTGACTGAATAACTGGAATAGTGGAAGTAAATATATATATATATATATATATATATATATATATATATATATATATATATATATATATATATAAGATTAGCCATTGACCATGGACTGACAGACATTAAACAGTTTAATATATGATATCCTTTCTCAATGACTGAGTGTATAAACTGTTTGTAGTTGTGTCGAATAAAGTATTGTCTAGTTTATACTTTGGTTTTAAATATATTTGGTTGTGGATAGTGTATTCAGTATAGCATGATCCAGTTTGTGAATAGTGTATTGATCGTGCATTCAGTCTAGTGATAGTATAATCTTGGTCAACAATCGCATTATTATTTCCTAGTAGTATTACATGGATAAACAGAAAATATTTTTATTTTGCCGTCATTTTTCTAAAAAAATATAGCAAAAATTGTTAAATTTTCTGTTAAACAAAATGTATAAGTTGAGTTTTTACGTGATCAAACCAACTCGTTACAAACACAACTATTCCAATATTTTGTCAATGAATAATACAGGAAAATATATTCTAGATGAGAAAAGAATGTAACGTCCGGCTTTTAAAAATTTATTAGTTTTAAAGTGTTGCGTTCTGTGAGCAGAATGATTTGATAATGAATTTTCTATCGTCGTTATGGTCTATGGCGTTTGTTCCTTATTCACTTATAAAATAACGTTTTATTCATTTTAGATGCTGTCATTATAGGGTTATGAAAATTGTTGAATTTTGTTAAAATTGAGAATCGATCAATGTTGGTGGTCTAACGCTGATTGATTTGTAATTTCATTGAATATTATATATACGCTAAGTCGGTTTGTTCTGACAGCCAATGTTTTCTGCTGGCTGTTCTCCTAGGTCTTACTGTCTATTTGAGTTCCAGTTAACTAAATTTTTTCGGTTGGCGTCTGTTCATGTGATTTATCTGGCTAAATTTCATCATGAGTTTACCTCAATATTCATCAATTAAGTTTATTTTCCTATATAAAACTCCATTGAAATGGAACTTGTAATCATTCTTGTTCTCCACAACATACATCAAAAAATGACTTCATTCAGACTATCAGTAAAAATCGGGAAGATACGACTCGCCGATTCATTATAGTATCGGACTCGATAGATATTTTCCGAATTCACAATCACCAGGATTTCCAGATTTTGCGGTGATTACTCAACCTCTGAGCAACTAAACCTGGATCCAGTGTTCTGCATGTCTAACTTCAATCTTCCTGAAATATTTTTCAGCTATCACCCATTGACACTGAGACCATTTGTCTCACACCTGACATAATTGAATGCCGCTCATCATATCTGCTCACTTGAACTATTTATTGGAATCTTATTTCACATTTCGTCACTGATGAGCATACGATTATCATTTATGTATAGGTAAATAGAGACTGTCTAATTGTACGCTTCGGATCATGGGGTGACCTAAGCCAACCATTGAAAACTACTCATAGTTTATTTGACTATTCGTATTATTTCTGACCGCTTTCAGTTCTTTGCTCAAAATCTATCATAATTCAAACTTGAATAAATGAAATGTACTCATAATCTTTACATCGGTACAGCTTTTTTGGAAAATAAGATCCGCTTAAGCATCAAATTGCATTTAGAAGTAACGAAAATAAAAAATTCTGTATAAAAGCGCATCACTTTGCGTAGTTATCACATAATTAATCAACAGTTATGATGTCTACTTTGTCAACATGTTTTATTTGATCTTGTGTCATAATTTGACAACGTATTTGCGAAATGGCTGAATTACTTCTACCGCAAAAAATATCATAAGTTAGGACAATGTTTACAGACGAACAATATTGTTTTCATTTAGTTTTTCATCAGAAAATTTTTTAAGACACTCATGTTAATGTTATTGTATGGTAGAGCAAAGTTTGAAAAAAGATCTGTTTTGGAAAAATATACTATTCACGTATATATTGTCATCATAGGGTTGTGAAGATTGTTGAGTTTCTTTGAAAGCATAAATCGATCATTGTTGAACCATCATTAGAAATCTGGAAACTCTGGACGACCGTTTCGTCCTGGTACGGTGCTGATCAGCAGCGAATGGATCAAACCCAGGACATTCAGTCTCGTGTGCGAACGCTTAAGCTCTAGATCAATAAGCCGGCATCCAACGATGTTATTGTCCAACTTCATTCAATCCACGATATCGCGCGACCTCATTCATTGTCTTTGGTGTATAAATACATCACATGAGACATGGTTAAACTCTACTTGTCATGGTTTCTCATCACTAGAATTGCGGGAATTCCCTTATGAAGCTTATCACTGATATGAGTGTACTTTTTAACTACACACATTAAATTCGATAGAGATTCGGCTTGTAAGCTTAAAAACGTGTAGGGATTCTAAAAATTTGTTTACTTATTCAACAAAAAATTATTAAAACTCTTTCTATCGTATTTAGTATCCCTTGTTTACGTCATCTATTTATACAGGCTTTGGAGAGATTTATAATTTGGACTTTAACGTTAAAATTAGGAAAAGTTCAGTCAGCCGATTACTTTCCAATGAAAGTAATCATCATTCTATACAATGGTTTATGTTATATGTTGTGAGCAGTTGAAGAGAAATTAAGGCGATAATATCAATTCATATTATTATTCTATTTCATTACGGATTTTTGCTGTATATGATCGAATGAGCATAATATGTTTTGATATGTGAAGATGATTTTTTTTTAACGGATGGATTTTAATTCATTAATACATCATTATATATTGTAAATTATTTTTCTTTTTAAAAAAATTTTTGTTTTAGGAAATCGATACTGGTAAAGATGATAAAAGTGGCGCGAAAGGAAAGAAAACTGATAATAATAATAGTAATACTAATACTACCACTAATAATAATTCACCCAAAAAAGGTAATTCTGTAAAACATTTCCCGCATTGTAATCGTATATTGTGGATCTATCAGCCTAAGCAATGACGAAGATTTATTTACAGTTCAAGTGATGTCGTTTGTAATAATCTGATCTAGTTGGTCTTAATTCAAATTTATTCATGTAATAGTTCTGAGAATTCGGCAACACCGAGAATTTTAATTACCTTCTATGTTACTTGAAACCGAAACTTCATTCATTATAGTTATACCGAATGAATAATTAATCTTTTTTGTTTAACTACATAGTTCACTATATAAAAAGGATAAGCTTATGAAATACCGTTTGTTCACTTAATGAAAAATCCTAAACTATGTAAGATCTTGGTACAAGCATGCATCAATCCAATTCACAATATGCTACATTAGAGCAGCAAAAGAAAATGAACAGAACAGAAATCAAGGAATTCGCTGAAATAGCAGTATCCGTTTGGTATAGAATATTACTACTAAGGTCAGTTAATCAATCAATAGTAACGTAGAACTAAGTACCTACGTACACCAGTTCATGTTACCATATCACATTAGCAGAGAGATGTAATTGTCAGTTCGAATCCCATAGCAGTAGAGGCAGTAAAAGTATTAGCAGTAATCGGAGAGATAATGGTTCGAAGATACTATTCAAGAAGTAGAATCTAGTGAAGTAAACTTGAAAAGAAAAAAGTTAAAGTGATGAAGAATTAAAAAGTTTAGGATTTGAGAGAACACAAAAAATGAATACACCTCCACCATTGCAAATGGTTTTGAGCCATGTCGTTCAGGGTCTCTAACCATCAATTACTATCATCTCGCGGATCCTATCCAGGTTATCGACACCTACCGACTGACTCAGTCCACTTGTCACTGACTTCATGGATTTGTGCCATGTTTTGGTTTCACCGCACCTAGCTTTCTTCTAACCTATTCTTACACCGCAAAATATAGCTCGACAAGGCAGTCAGTGGTTAGGCATTCGTAACACATGTCTCAACCACCTCAGATAAGCCATAGAACTAAAAGTCTCAAATCATCATAGAAAGGATCCCGGTAACAAAGTTCTACTATAAGACACTACTGTGACAAACGGTTCATGACCTGATGAACTGTGAATTTTTCAGAACCTACTTCCCTGCCTATAAGCCCAAGACTTCGGGATAAGAAGTAGTTATTACTCATAACTAACTGACAGAGGTTTATTTAAAGGCTCATTATTCTTCGCACTGAAATCTAAATACGTTTCAAACTGCTTCAATGCAAATTTAGCACGTTCAATTATAGTTCTTTAGTTTTTGAATTAAAACTTATGAATATGTTAAGATTAGATTTTTTGGAGAATTATTACTAGATTTGTAATCCGAATATAATTTGTAATAACTTCATTGAAATCATAAAACGATCATTGCTAGACGATCATCGGAAACCTGTAAGCATTCGTCTTCTCAGTATGGGACTCATCATCAATGTGCGTCCATAAACCCACACGAGTGAGAACCAAACCCAGGACCTTCGCTCTCGTATGTGAACGCTCAATCTGTTGATCACTGTGCCAGAATTCAGCAGTCTCAATGTCTTACTTCAATCATTTCGTAATCCTCACACTTGACACGGTTGAACTTCACATGTCACGGTTTCTCACTAGGACTGTGAAGTTTCACTGATTTTTGGATGCCGGCTCAGTGGTTTAAAGATTAAGCATCCGCCAGCGGGACAGAAGGTCTTAAATTCAAGTACCACTTGCGAGGCTATGGACAAGCACTGCTGATAAGTTCCACACTAAGATGAAACGGCCTTCAAGTACTCCCAGATTTCTCATGGTTGCCGGATGGTGATCAGTTCATGATTTAATGAGGCTCAACAGTCTCCATATTTCTATACTGATAATCTGTACTTTTGCTTGGTATTTTCAAAAAAACTAATGCAAACATATTAATTAGTATTAACACCTTAATACCCTTCAAATAATATTTACCTCCGTAAAAGTTCTTTCTGAAACGTTATATGGCCAGACCAAAACTAGACAGAAATCCATGAAATCACTAACAAGTGGACTAAGTCATGTCGTTAGATGTAGGCTACCTGGTTGGGGTCCGCGAGACGTATGTCATGAATGATTAGACACCTTGAACGACATGGCTCGAAATCGTTTGCAATGCCGCAAGTGAATCCACTCTTCATGTTCTCTCAAATTCTAGCCTTCTGAATTCCTCATCATCTCTATCTTTCTGTTTCTAAATTTATCTCACTGAATTATACTTCTCGAATCATATCTTTGCTCCCTAATCTTCTCCATACTTCTACTATCGCTACCACTATTGGATTTGAAGTGACAAATTGCGTCTGTGTGCTGATGTGGTATGGCAACCTGAACTGATGTACTTACTTACATACGAAGTTCTTTGTTGTATCTGTCTGTCTGAAATCTTATATATTTATAAGAACAATCATCAAAACTAAACAAAAACCAACATTTCTAAATAACATTCTATAAATATTTTATTTTTATTACTATTACATACTTTTATCTAATATCAATTTTTCCATGAATTACAAGTTGTGTGAATTTTTTCTTATTCTACCAACTGTACACAATATACAATTAAAATTATGTCTGGAATTTCTAAAGTCTCATTTCTCCTCTGTCCCCTTATCAGGCCAGTCTATAAAGCACTTACTTGGTTGTCGTTTTTTCTCTTTCAGTTACAAAAAACATAAATTAAAACTAAGCCATATCGACTACTTGATACAATCAATATCAATAAAGAGATGATAATCACTTGTAAACAATTCAATTAGACATTTGTTTGAATCACATATTCAGTAAGAACTAAGTAATGATTGTCAACAATCCATCTTTGATTGTCATACGTTTTCATCATAAAAGGAGGCAATGAACAAGCTTGGAAGAGAGTATTAAACCAGCTCCATTTTTCATTAAGTAATCAAATATCAGCTTGTGTAACACGATCAGCATACTTATCAACTACATAACAATCACATATACAAATTAATCTATTAAGTTTGTCCATTTCAATACATAAATAACCAGTTAATTACTCCATTTACGTTGTTCTCCTTAGTATGAATGAGAATAAGTACTATGTGGCTAGTTTGATGAGATTCAAACGACTTACGTTTGCTGTTCTCAAGGCACTATGACACATTACTTGAAGCAAAACTAAGTAGTTGGTAGGTGCTGAGGACGTTTGATCCTCAGAACTCACTTGATAAAGATCCTAACCTCGAATTTTATGCTTACGTGCATAGGCTGATCAGTTGACCTTGAGATTACATTTCTCACCAGGAAAATCCTCGACTGTCTTTGGTTGATGCATTATTTCAGTACGCTATTTTGTGGATCTCACATGGATGTTTCTATCATGTATAAATAAACTCGATTTGTGTACTTATGAATCCCATATTTTCTGGGTGCTTGTTGAATACACTTTCTACGTCTTATCAAGACTTCTTCCTTTACCTAGTGAGTCCTTCGGACGCTCGGATTAGAGTAGCCTATCGTGTTACTGCATCATTTGTCTTCGCTCTCGTTTACCAAGTAAGATGAACTCGTAATAGTTTCGAACATATCACCAAGTTTCCTCCACACATTAGAACTGTCTTGACATTTGTACTGAAAATTCTGACTTGGTTGTTTGTTGATAGTTGTTTTGAGTCTCAAATATTATCCAGTTGGATCATTTGTCTTCACTCTCGTTTACCGATTAAGGTGAATTGGTAATAGTTTCCTGCATATCAATTGACGAGCATAACAATATGGTTGACAAAAGTTCACTACAATAGATTATTTTTGTAGAAATCCATAATATTCACACATTCAATGAACTTGTACTGTGGTGTGAGCTACTTATAAGTAGTATATGACGTGAGTGTCAACGTAATGTCTGGCAGCAGAAGATGGGGGAAGATCAAGAAAGGAAGAGTTACAACACAATAGAATTTGTATGAAACGCATGAATAGTGACAATGGATTGATGTTTTGCAACAGGAACAGTCTAGTTCGAGATGATGGATTGATATTTTGCAAATTAACGATTTACGATATGGTTTTCCTATTTTATTGAGTAACTCTGTAATTTCCGTTAAGCACAATCCGGTTGCCCCACCTGTGTTCCCGTTCACTACAGTACTACTTTCGCGTCAATCATTGTAGTTTCCATTGAACTTCCATATTTCTCAGAAAAGATGTGGTTATTCATCAGTTGTTCACTCTATAACAAAATAATTCTTTCATAGTTCATAGGTGATGTTTTTTTGAATATATAATTATATATATTTGATTATTTGTTTTGTTGAACTTATTGTAATTTGAACATTTGTTAAATTGTTTTCGAACTTCCATTTTTGACCTAAAACTTTTGAATCAACAACACATTTGTATTATTTTATTTAGTTAGTTTAATTTTGATTGAAAAGGGAAAAAAAATTGTTCTCATTAGGTGTTTAGAATTTTAGTCGGCCTAGAAGAACTTTAATATATATTATAATTAATTGGAAAATCTGCCAACTGTTTATTTATTATACTTAAAGTTGGATAATATAGTCAATAGACAATTGAAAATTGCTATATATTTATTAGGAAATAGTCAGTCTTATTTTGTCAAGGATTACTGAAAACTGGAATTTTAAACATACTGATAAATAAATCTTTGGTCTAGCATAATGGAATAAAGTGTAATATTAATGGAAACATTCATCTGTCCAACATTGAAATCATTAGAAACTTAGAAGCACTGGACCGCCGTTTCGTCCTAGTATGGGACTCATCAACAATGCACACTCACGACTCTTGCTCCTCAGAGGATCCGAACCTTGTACGTTCGGTCTTGCGTGCGATTGCCCAACCTCTGGACCAATGAGTCGATAGCCGACATGACCAGTGGAGTTCAGTCCTGTCGGGTGTGAGCAGTAACTAACAAAGACAATGGATGAGGTTGTGCAAAATCCTTAGATTGATCAGAGTTAGACATTAACACCATTGGATGCTGG